GTCGCAAACACACAATCGGCCTGGACGTGAACAACAAACGAAGCTTAGATGCATAGAAAGTCTTATCGATTGCGTCAGATAATCTTCTTTGTATGATCTCGGCTGATGTGTCCCCTTTGAACGATAAAGAAATGTATACTGATTTTTTCCTAACCTCGGTGTTTTGTAAAGAGTTTTCCGTGCACTGAATCATCTTGTTGACTAAACGCTCCGGATATCCGTTACGTGCAAAAAATCGATTTTACAGTACGGAGCTCTGCTTCTAGCGTGTCCTCACTACAGATCTTTCTTGCCCTATTCGCTAGACAGCGAACCAGGTTTCTTTTTATCTTCAGTGGAACAAAGCTTCGGAAATGAATGTATTGGTCTTTCCACGTTGCCTTTCTATGCACGGAACGCTGCACCGAACCATCTGATGGACGGGTGATGCAGACATCTAGAAACAATTTGTGGTTGCACTCCATTTCTAAAGTAAATGTTATGTTGGGATGCGCATTGTTGAACCTGTTTAATAGTTCCGTTGCACTTGATGTTGCACCGATCACACAATAAATATCCTCTACGTACTGTGTGTAGTACACAGTCTTCGATGGATGATTGTAATTGAGTGTTTTCAAGCTTCGCCATGAATAAATCCACGACAAGCGGTTTCAGCGGAGACCGCATGGCTACACCATCCTTTTGTCGATAGATCTCATCGTTAAACTTAAACTGAACATTATACGTGCAGAAATAAAGCAGTTGTTTAAGGTCATCCACAGGGAGGCCGAGCTCTACATTATTGGTTTGTAAATAACTGCACAAGTATTCAATCGTTTCGCCGATGGGAACGTTTCTGAACAACGAGCTGACGTCTAGCGAGAGCATTGTTCGATCGACCAAGTTTATGTCGCGAATTTTGTCCACAAAAGTAAATGTATCTTTGACACAGTGTTTTGCCAAACTAACCACTTTGCCAAGGCATGATATGGTGAGTTGCACATACCCAAATCCGTTGTAATGGCACTCCATCTTTGTGTACTTTTGGCAATCCATACAACCTCGGAATAACAGTCCCAGTTGGCCTAATACGTTCGAAAAGGGATGCATCAATCACTCCTCTCTGCTTTAAGCTTCGCAAAATCTTGGAAAGCGCCCCTTCTATCTGAGCCGTCTTATCCTTTTCCGTCAACTTGGTGAATTGCGATCGATCACCCAATATGATATTCATCTTGTCTGTGTAGTCCGTTCGATCTATCAGGACGATCCCCGTCCCTTTATCCGNTGACGTCTAGCGAGAGCATTGTTCGATCGATCAAGTTTATGTCACGAATTTTGTCCACAAAAGTAAATGTATCTTTGACACAGTGTTTTGCCAAACTAACTCGAACGGGTTCCAACAATTTGGCCAACCACTTTGCCAAGGCATGATATGGTGAGTTGCACATATCCAAAATTGGTCGTAATGGCACTCCATCTTTGTGTACTTTTGGCAATCCATACAACCTCGGAATAACAGTCCCAGTTGGCCTAATACGTTCGAAAAGGGATGCATCAATGACTCCTCTCTGCTTTAAGCATCGCAAAATCTTGGAAAGCGCCCCTTCTATTTGAGCCGTCTTATCCTTTTCCGTCAACTTAGTGAATTTCGACCGATCACCCAGTACGGTATTCATCTTGTCTATGTAGTCCGTTCGATTTAGCAGTACGATCCCCGTCCCTTTATCCGGTCTGGATAGTATAACATCTTTATTTTTCTGAAGTTCTCGTAATCGTCTGATATGTTCTGTAGTTACTATTCCATTTGTATTTAGCTTGACATTCTGGTGCTGGTAGCAAGCATTTACCAAGGTCGATTTGAGCCTTTCCAACTCCAATGATGAAGAAGGAACCAGGTCAAAAAGTTGCGCATATAAGTTTTCAAATTCCTCCTCCATATACAATTGGTTCGATCTCCGATTCGGACAACAAAACTTTGGTCCCAGAGATAACACTTCTAACAGCATTTTGTCCAAATTTATGCTTGATAGATTGTGAACATAGTGTTCCGGATTGGTAGGGAACTCACCCACTGGCTTGATAGGATTAAGTCGCAGACGCAACGTGTTTCGGCTTCGTTCCACCTGTTTGGAAACAATAGACTGCGCATAATCCTCAAATTGTTGCCTTTCAGTCGGGGAGAGATTATTCAACACACGCTCAGATGTTACACAATTGCGATTTAAATCCACAAGATGATTGCACAGAGTATCCCGCTCATTGAGAGCTTGACGCCTTAGTGTCACACTAGTGATGTTCACACGGTTTCTCCTCAAAACTGTCCAATAATGTTTTGGATATTCCGAATTGGTAACACAATCGTCAATAAACTGAATTCGAGCATCTGCCAGGGCCAGTTTCGTACGGAATTTAACATATTTGTTAAGTCCACGAAGTACGATAGGATCTTTGGCCTACTTCAATTGTTGAAATAATCCCACAGAGCACATTTGAAACAAAACAACAGAGTGACGAACAAGCTCGTTTTCAGAGATTCGTATTCATGCCAATACATCTCAATATATATCACTACTTGGGAATAAAATTGTCATGGGAAAATAAAATAAAATAAAAACAGATTACTAAAACCGATTTCATCGTGAGACCGGAAATCGGGTTCACCACGATCACATGTTTGTTTGTCCACTCATCCGACCATCGAGATTACTCACGATGCGGTTTTGAGATCGCTCAAGGAACTATTTTTAGTGGTTTTTATTGCAATGACTGTTGGTTTTAGAGAAACTACGTGTCGTACCATACGGTGTTGCATCCCCACTACGTATCTGTTACTGTTTTCTTACCTTATTGTTCTCCACGTTTAATCCATGTATAACAATTCTGACAATGACCCCATTGAGGAGAACCGTAGTTAATCATGGGTGATTGTACAAGCCCAAAATCGATTGGACACAGATACAGCGACCTTGTTATCATCGAGCACCAAATTAAAATAACCCTTTTATCCTTGTATTTTGTTGTGGACCTAATACAAATATTGGATGAATGCTTGCACAATGCCTGGCGCGCCAAATTTGTACTCGCATATTGATCGCTAAGCAGAAAAATTCCCAATATTATACGGTGAAATACATGAAGTTATCTTACGAGTGCAAGATGATCTCAAAACGCATTCTTTTTGCCTACTGTTTGACAATCTGGATGTTGCAGGTAAGTGAGTGTGCCTCAATTGGGCCATGTGAGAACAGCGAATATAATTTTACAAAATGAATATTGAAAGAGAACGTTTATAAACCACAATCTTCCGAGACGACAGAAAAACATGTGCTGTTTGGAAGCCTGAAACAACGGTGATATGAGGCAACAGTAAATCTACTTGATTGAGATTTGAGATTCTTCCTTTTAGAAAGTTGGAAAGAGGTTAAAATTAAGGGTCAGTAAATCTTTTTCGTATTGCAAACACTCGTGCACTAATCAGCGTCCTGGTAACCTAACCAAACTGTGATACAAATAAAAAGAACATGAAGTTCTGTGAACGTACTGGTATGTGATCCCGAGTAAGCAACACTTCGATCGATTTGCGAAAATAGTGTTCACTCCAACAGTCCAACAACCTCACGTGGTTTAGTCGCTGTCACCGGCGTGCTTTGGACCCTATGGTCCGGGGTTCGAGCCCAGCCACCGCCNGGCAGCTCTGTGGTCGTCCGGTTTAATACCACGCCAAACCTATCGGGGCCTTATGTGGTTCGCCACTCCAAGTTCCGGGGCTTAGGTTGCCGATTTCAACTACTGAACAGCAGGTCCTCGTGACTATGGGGTTTACCCCGTCTGCTGTTCACCGCACCTAGGTGTGTAATAAAAAAAGACATTTCTTCTACTGGACGAAATATGTAACACGGAGAATAGATGGATAAACGTAGGTCTGCCTTATAACGTTGGATTTTGGGATGTGGTTCCAGTAGATGGATACGTCATCCAATGAGATCCGAATGGAATCGTAGATTGTTGTAACGATAACTTCAAACAGCACAAATTCCGACAGCGTGATGCAAAGCTGGATTTATTTAAGAATTTTTCAGGGGGAACAATAGCTGTCTCATACTGTTAAGCATAACGAGCCTTCCTCAGTCCACTGATCTTCACGTTACGAACCGAAAGGTGTATTAGTTACATGCTGGACATGATATTTGCGGATATGATTATTGTGTCAAACGCCTGCAATGATCTGTTCTTTAGGGCAAACTAAGTCCACTCTCCTCTAAATTTTGACCGTAGACATCTTTTTCAGGACTTATTTCTTAGTAACTGTTCGAAAGTAAAAGCAAAATGCTCCTAATGGTGCAATCTTATTTCTGTGATCCCTAATGCAATGAGAGGCGTTGGAAAAATAGTACGTTTTTCCAGGAAAGTTCACATGACAAGCGAGTACTGGTTCATACTTTTAAGCCTCAAAATCCATCAGCTATTCTTCGGAATTGCAATGTTTCTGTGGACTCTATGGTTCCAGTTAAACTGCATAATGAACAATGATGTACGTAACAATATTGGAGCTCCACGGAATCAAATGAAGGAAAACGATTGCAAATCATCGATGAAAGCCCCTAGTGGGCTCCAGCTCACACAACACTTGGAAATGGTTCCTAGTTCAATGAAGAGAACAGTGCTGATTTGGATGAAAAAAGAATATGAAAATACCCCAGGTATCGGACAAATTATCCTGTTCCAACCGCAAACGAATTCCTCCACACTCTTTTCATGACGTTAACAAATGATTTTGTCCAAACTGTTATACACACGCTTCGGTGTACAAGGTTGAACTGTTCACGATATGCTGTCTACAACAGTCAACTAAGCGAGGCATAATGGTCTCTCTAGTCCCTGTTAGACTGATATTTTTCTTAAATGAATTTCTTGAGATATGGAGGGGGTATGAAACCTGTTTGAGGAAATTATTGTTCGATAAAGGGGTATTGCAAACATTGGCACCAATGAATTCACGTTGAATACTGAAGATCAACTAACCAAGAGTTTTCAAATGTGCTTTTGTTCTAAAATCGCCATTAAATCACTCCACTTGGTATGCCAACTGTACCGATGGTTGTAATGGGTCGTCAGACCTAACTTCTGATTTGTCAAAAGGGTTATATCGACTTCATATGCGACAACGAGTCAGCCAGAGTGAAGCGTAACCAACCCCTAAAGATAGTCTTTTTCAATATACTTATTTCTTCTATAAAACCGGTACAGAAATGCAGATTGCAATCGTGTAAGGTTTGTAAATCTCAAACT